AAGAAGAAGAAGAAGAAGAAGAAGAAGAAGAAGAAGAAGAAGAAGAAGAAGAAGAAGAAGAAGAAGAAGAAGAAGAAGAAGAAGAAGAAGAAGAAGAAGAAGAAGAAGAAGAAGAAGAAGAAGAAGAAGAAGAAGAAGAAGAAGAAGAAGAAGAAGAAGAAGAAGAAGAAGAAGAAGAAGAAGAAGAAGAAGAAGAAAGTTTAAACTATCACTGTTCGCTATATCTTTCTATACATTCTATTCTTGTAAGCAATCATTGCTTTGGCCTGGCTTGTTCAAGTTTTACATATTTCATTTGTAATCCAAATTCATTTAGGATCCATTTAGTCTTGACCCTACACCTTTGTGTTATGTCACACATGCTTCGTAAGCAACCCATTCCTGTTGCATTCAACTTATTTTGTAAATTTCTTTTGGTACGCCTAATTCATGTGCAGGCCATAGCACATTCTGAGCTATTTTTGGTTCTTTTCACAATGGAACACATACTACCCACTACTTTTCAACCAGCTTTTTCACATCTTAAAATTGATTTAGCTATCTTTCCCTCTTTAAGAAATATTCTACCAAGGCACACAAAATAACTGCTTGCTTCAGGTTTTTTTTTTTTCATTAAATACATATAATTTCCAATTGTTCACTCCATTTCCCCCATCACACAACTACTTGATACATTCACTTATAAACCCATAATTTTCACTCCGTTATCCAATTTTACATTCACTGAAGGTCAACTGGATTCTTCTAAAAAAAACATGGTATCACTTATATACACAGACATCCAAATAACTTCTAGCATTTGCACGTGCATTCCCTGTATATATCTCTATAGCCAAGGGGACATCACAAATCCTTGCCTCATTCCTTGTTCTACACTGAAACTGTTCATTACGTTTGCAATTTAGTCTCACACCTGCTTTACTTTCATCATCACATACTGCTTTTATTGCATTCAGCAACCAACCTTAAATTTCACAGTCACACCAAACCTTCCGTAATTAATTCCTCTTAGCATATGTTTTCTCTAAATTGACAAACATACAATAAACTTGCTTTCTCACATTCATATGTTTGACAAGGACTTGTTGAAAATCAAACCTGATATTTTCTGCCTGGCATAAAGCCACACTGAACTTATTTTACTTAGTGACAATCAAAATTCTGCCAAATGGCTTTGCAGGAAGACTTAACAAACTAATTGCTCTGTATTTCAGTTTCATCCCAAATAATTTCATCCTTAATTCCATTCCATTAGCTTTGCTGGGAGATCCTTTTTTTAGCCCTCTTCTACACATTTGCAAAACTATTTTTTAATTCCCATCAATATTTTTCATTTCTATCCACTTTTAATCTTCATCAAGCCTTGCTTGCTCTAATCCAATTCTCAAGAACTATTTTTGTTTTATGCACATTACACAGCAAATCTCACACTCTCCCACTTTCAGCCTTCATTTTCTCATGTGTATTTTTCTCCATCAACAGTATCTTTCAGCTTCTTGCTCCATCAAACATTATTTTTGTTACCTCCCATTAACATAACTTCACACATTCCTGTGAGGTGCTGAAACAAAATTCTTTTCATTCTGTTCCAAGCAGCTTTCACGTTTTTTCCCCTTATTTCCTTATTCTTGAGACAATAATCTACCTTTTTAAAATATAGCTAGTACTTTCTCTTCCTATAGTTAATTTACTTTCACTCTTTTTTCTTTCACTTTTTTCTTTTTCTCCTATATCAATTCCCCCCCCCCCCAAGAGAACCTTTTTCTGAAGATGAAAAGAAAATGACATCCCACATATTAAAGAGTGGATTTAGAAAATGTGTTTTTTGGATTGTTGACTTCTACTATCAGGGATGGGATTCAAATTTCTTAACAACCCGTTCTATGGGTGTGGCCTAATTTGTGGGTGTGGCTTGGTGGTCATGTGACTGGCTGGGCATGGCTTGTATGTAAATATTATATTTATATAAATATTGCATCTTTTATTAAAAAAGAGCAACTTTTACCCAAAATCAGGCAAAGCAGGCAGGCAGAGTGATTTGCTCACAGAATCACAGATTCATTCAGAGATCTATCTTTCTGCAATCGGCTACCTGAGTTTCACATAAAATTTGCTTGGAAGCAAACTCATAAAATTTGCTTGCAAGCAAACTCACAAAATTAACTCATAACACACCATGTATGTAAATATTGAATATTTTTATAAAAAAGAGCAACTTTTACCCAAAATCAGGCAGAGCAGGCAGGCAGATTGAGTTGCTCACAGAATCATAGATTCACTTAAAGATCTGTGTTTCTGCCATCTCCTACCTGAGTCTGCACTGAATAATAGAAGCTTCAGGCTCAGCTCTGCTTTTAGATTAGTTAGAAAGCAAGAAATCCAACGATTTCCTGCTTTCTAGCTAATCTAAATCTCCCAGCACAGCAAATCAGCTGATGGTCAGGGCAGGGGGAAGGAAAAATAGCAACTTAGCAGGCAAGTTTGATGGCGTGCATGACAGATAAGGAGTGGGCGGGGTGGGGCAGGGCCAGCCAGTGGCGTGATTTTCCAGTTCTCCGGCAGGTAGAATCCCACCCCTGGTGAGAGTGCATTTTGCGTGTGCATGTAGACCATTTCCTAAAAACCTCAGCTATGCCACCTGGACAGCTGACAAGCGCTGCACAAGGATGCGGAGCGTTTGAAAATCCTCTTCTTTCCTGCTTTTTCAATCTCAGATGTGCCGCGCAAAGCAGCCAAGGTTGAAAAAGCAGGAAATAAAGGACAGCCAAGAGCCCGGGTGGCCAGGTAGACCAAACAGAGCAGCAGACACTGAACTGGTTCGGTGTCTGCTGCTCTTCAGAGCTACCAATTCTATAGAACCGGGCCAAACCGGTAACATCCCACCCCTGCCTAAGATGTCTTTAGGCTGTAAAACTAATAAGATCTGTTTTGATTTATAGCATGTTAAAGAAAGAAACGAAGTATATGTGAACTTATATCTATATATGAATCTCTTTAAGTTTCATTTTATTTCTCTTGTTGATCATGCTGTATTTTTATTAACAAGCAAAAAATAGAAAAATACCAGTTTTTCTGATTTACATTCTCAGAATCCTTCATTAAGAATCAAGTCAATCATGCTTTTTCATTTACTACTTTTCCATGGATACATAGGAATAGATTTACAATTAAGTACACAGGCAAAACATTATGCAACAATCACAACCCATGGACTCCAACTATCATATGCACCCACACAGTCCAGTTGACACCAACTCTTATTTTCGGATATACATCCTAGCCCCTTTGTTCACAGTTAGTCTTATATCTTAACCTCCTGTATCTATTCAACAAATTTACTCCACAACACCAGGCCATTTTCATTCTAATATATTACAGTTTTCTTTCAGTATCATGGACACACAGCATATCTTTCTTCCTTTTTCCCCCCTTTCATTCCTGAACTCATAGTCTTTGCCATTTACTGCACTAACTTTCTAAGTCACATTTTTTCATATGTCCCGTAATCACCACATAAGTCCATGCATTAATCAATTGATGCTTTCTTTCTTTCTTTCTTTCTTTTTTTGAAAAATAGAGAAGGTTATCAACTTGAGTAATATCCATCTAACTCCCAACATTCTTTGCTAATAGTTTTGACACCTTTTGATCAGTATTTCACAAGAGCAACCAAAGCCCAATTTTACCCCAATCAGACTCATAGTATTCTAAGGCACTTGGTGCCTGTAAGGCTATCTTGCAAGTCTACAAACTGTTGCTGCATCTCACCAATTAGGAAGTACCTGTAATGTACTGACATATAAAAAGATACACGCAATATGAAACAGTGTGAATTATACAGTTACACTATTAACATGTCTTAAACTCACAAACTTAAGCTTTGAAAGTAGAGCAGGTAGCTCATTTCAGATCCTTTCATGGGCAAATCCTAAACATCACGTTTGAGATAACGATTTTAATATGATGGCTGAATCCCAAGTCAGTTCTCTGAATTAACTCTAACATGGCATGGCTAAGACGAGCTCCAGTTTATAGGAGCGCATTTTTCTGCTTTTAATACAGATCAATATTTAGTATCAATATTTAGTAACTTACTCTTGTTAAGTCCATGCCAAGTTTGAGTTGAGAAAGAAGGTGCAAGATAACACTACGCTGTTCTTCCACAGCTCCAAGGTCATCCTCTTTATTCTCACATGTGTCTTCCAACTCATCTTCTGGATTTATTTCCTCTGGTTCCTGAGATAAATTTAAACAAAATGTAAGGTATTTAAAATACTTTAATATTTCAAACTTTTTTTGTTGCCCTAACTCAGTAGAGGCAACTTCTTAAATCCCACAAACGATGTTTCTCTTCTTAAACAACGAATAATATCAAGCTCCATATGTATACATTCTCCTTCTTTTATTCTACCTACAGATGAAGCTATAGACTATAAGGTCCTATAACAGTTTGGTTTTTTTTTTTTAAGTACTGGCAATGCAACCACCTCACATATTAAATTATGTTACAATATGGAATTTGCATCAAATAATCTTTGCAGCAAATAGAAATTAAATCGCTTCTGCACATAAACCCTTAGAAGAAAACTGCCTATTTTTATCTAGATGTCATGCCTTCCAGAGGGAGCTGTTGCTGTAGGTGAAGTATGACTTTCTATTTCTTTTCCCTGCTCTTCCCTTACACTCTCTCCCAACAAGCACACACAGGTCTAGATTCTACCACTTTGCCACTCTACAGGGTTATCAGAATTTTTTCCACAATTCAAGCTCATTATTTATTCCCTTTTATTTATAACATGTGGCTTGGTTTCACTTCTGCATGTCATTTGTCACCAGACAAATGTGACGTTCCCTAAGGCCATAGTCCAGTCCATGTGCAGAGGTCATTGGATACTTTTATTGCTGAAACAGCTATCTTTCTCAGCCACCTGAAGCCAAGAGCTGGCAATTATTACAGTCTGGCTAAAGAAAACTTCCACAATCACAAGACTACGTCTGATTTACTTTGGCCATGTCATGCGTGCCAATTCATCAGAGTAGTCAACAATGCTAGGAATGTGTAGTGGAACAAGAAGAAGGGGCAAGCAAAGAACCCGCTGGCTTGATAACATCAAAGCTGATACAAAGGTGAACATCCAACAACTGAAAGAAGCTGTGCTTGACAGGGTAGCACAGAAATCACTTGCCTCTAAAGTCGCTAAGAGTCAGACACAACTGAATCATTAAAACAACACAATAGCACCCCCATAGCTTTTGCCCTCATAAACCAAGTGCAGAGAAGAATATAGTCACTTGTTGCCTTTCTATGATGGATGGTAATCCCAACCACCCCATCTTTGCCAAAAGAAGAAAGCAGGAATGGAGCAACTAAGTAGGCTGAAAGACATCTCTGTTCCTTAGTTATTTCTGTACTCTAGCAACCATCTTACGTGGGATAAAAAGGAGAAATAATAGCTACAGGAGTAGTCTAAAAAGAAAAAAAGCTACAAAGAACTAACAGCAGCTACGAAACTAATACAATACATTCTCTACTTTCATCCTCCCACAATAATTTATCTCACTTTTATTATTTACTTATTATAGTATATACTTTTACTCTCCCTTCTCTTTCAAATGTGTACTATACACTATATTATGATCTGAAGCTGCATTCTCAGCTCTGTTATGTTCATAAGTTAGGAATGTTTGGGTGTGGAGAATTCTCCTTCACTGAAGGAGAAAAGTTGGGCATCAAGTCTTTTCCAGTGCAACTCTTCTAGGTGGTTGCAAATGCTATGAGCAAGGAAGGGCCATTTCCTGGATTATATTATATCACAGCAGAAACAAGCAAAAAAGCAGCTATTAGAATTGAAGCAGCCTCTCCTCTCCCTCCAAGTGCTGGCATTTGTTGAATACTACCTGAGCAAAGTCATCAAGATGCACCATCCCTGTTAGTCTATTAAGAGCTCCACTGATTTATGTCTAGCAATAGAGAAAGGAAGGAATAATAACCTCCCTTGCTTTATAAAGTTTACTCATAGGGACACTTCTGAAAACAATTCCTGCAATAAACAGCCATGCCAAAAATGTTTATACCCATCTTTATATAGTTGCCTCAATAACTTAGCATTTTAGAACAACCTAGTATTTTAGGGCATTCTTTCAATTTGCCTTTAATAAAAATGTAGTGATGGAATGTGATCTCCCAAGCTCATTAATATTACAAAATATCCCTTTATCTAGGTCAAGCAAAGCAAATTACTGTTAAATTCCTCTGGAAGTTCTTGATTTTGCATTCCTTGAAAGTTTTCCGGTTTAACCCCTATATTACTTTAAAACAATATACAGCTACATTAATTAAAGTTTCACTAATGTTCACTTGTCCTAATATTCAGCAACATTTGTTGCTTAAAAGAACAACAAAAAGTAAGAAACAATACTTCTTCTAAGTTTAAACTCTAGTCAAGCAGACTCTATTCTTTTATCAATAATTCTAACCATAGTTGAATATTCCAAGAATGGTCCTTTTCTTTAAAATAAAGTAGGAAAAAACAAAACCACAATACAGAGCTAATGGTTTTAAATGCTTACCCTGGTTAGCTGACCAGATTCAGAACTGGAATCTTCCTCTCTGACTGATGCTGGCTTCATTTGATCCGCAGGTAAATTTTGATCTGCTCCATTTTTGAAATGATTTGGCAAAGAAATCTTTGGTTCCAACCAGCTGATTGTTGTTCCTGAAGAAAGAGAGACCTTACGCTGAAATTTGCTCATATTTGAGGAACTGAAGCTTTTCTTAAAATTGCTTCTGCCATTCAACAGTGTCACACCCTCTCTTCCAAAACACTACAGGCAACTAAAAACTTGCTCTGCAGCAAGAAAGAAAACAGGTGGGTGCAAAGTAGCACCACCTTCTCCTTCTCTTCTCATTAGAATGAGGCTTATGACTGGGCAATGAGGACACAGAACATGTTCCTGACTAGAAGGAGATGGGGTTATGAAAGATGTAATCAGACACTAGATAAAAGAACTCAGTAAGACTAGATTGTTATATAATATCGTTAAGACCGGCTGCTGAATCAACATTGTAGGCATGCCATTAAAACAGGGAGAAGGAAATATAACCAGAATTGAACAATGCAAGCTTAAGTCAAAAAGAATGCCACCAATGGCATGCTCTGTTATATAAATTACAGTTGCTTGAAAATTTAAAAAAAAACAACCTATGTAATGATGCTAGTATCTCCAATTACCTCTCCACCCCCAGTCAGTCTTCCTGAATGGATACATTTCCTTATCAATAATGAAAATGTTCCATTCTGTTTTCAAACGCTAGTGTTTGCAGAAACTAATAAAGTCCTGTTAAAAAGAAGCACATACATAAACGAGAATAAAGGAACATCTGGGTTCAGACACTATTGACACCCTGGTTGCATCTTCAGCTTATAGTCCTGGATTTATCAGCTTATTCTTTCAAAAAAGAAACTTGGGGGAAAAAGTGCTTTACGGTGTACTTATCTGGATATACTGAACATATTTTATATACAGTACTTAAACTTCAAGGCAACTGCAGCGAAGTCTCTCAGGAGTCCTAAATATTGGAGGAGTGTGTATGTTCTACTTTGCATGTAAATCCCTACACTTACCACTTTGCATAATAATCACATTTCTATATGGTGGGCATTGTTTTCATTCCTTTATTTTTACATAGGCATATTAAAAACTTCTAAAGCATGGAAAACAGACACAAATTCAAGTGCATTCAGTTATATAAATTAAATGTGTTCTTGAAAAAGGAACATCTTCAGAGAACTGGGATCCTAAGACCATCCCAGACTAATTGTGGCCTGGTTTACAGACTGCATTAAATCATGATTGGTTTAACCACTATTAACTAAATAAGCCATGATGGCTGGTTTGCATAATGGCCTTTATTATATGACTTAATGCCAGACAGGTAACATACCTTTACCCACTTAGAGGAAAAAGCAAAATCATTTATAAATAAGCTACTCATGCTTTGATCTTCTAGTCCCAACAAGTACAAGACTATATAGGTAAAGCTTTCTAGTAATAGGAGTGTTTAACAGAGATATTTCATTTTTGTATTATCAGTACTGCTCTCTATAAAAACTGTCTGAAACAGAAATACAAGTCCAAATGACACTGAGAGTAAATTCCCACAATAAATTCACAGTAAATTCCCACAATAAATCCACCTTTTGAAGAAGAATAAACCACAGATTGCTTAGAGGTTTCTAGAAAAATACTGTATAAGATGCATTTTCCCCACCCACCCACCCAAAATTGGGTGGAAATGCCTGTGCATCTTATACAGCAAATGTTGCCGAAGCCCCGCCCATCCACCGGCCCCCACTCTTCGACATCTGCCTCCCAGCAATTTGCCTATTGCAGCAAACAGCCTGGTCAGCTTCAGCACAGCCTGATTAGCACAAGCAGCTGATTGTCAGTTGGATCAGCCTCCCAATGATCAGCTGTATCAGGCTGCAGGGATCGCCACCATCTATTGCCGCCTCTTAGTGTCCCATTTTCAGACTCTGCATCCTGTTTTCAGCCTCGGCACACCTCATTTTTGGCCACTGTGCACCCCATTTTTGGCCCAAACAGAAGCCAAAAATGGGGTGCACAGAGGCGGCAATTGGTGATGGCGATCCCTGGAGCCTGAAACAGCTACTCCTCAGGAGGCCAATCCATTCGACAATCAGCGGCTTGTGCTGAAGCTGACCAGGCTGTTTGCTTCAAGGAGGCAAATTGCTGGGAAGCAGAGACAGATTATTATTTTTTCTTGTTTTCCTCCCCCAAAGCTAGGTGCATCTTATACTTCGGAGCATCTTATAGTCCAAAAAATACGGTAAAATGCACAACTTCTGATTTTAACCTTTTTATTCAAACAGAGCAAAGATAATAACTCACCAGTAGATAAGGATCCCTTTTGTTGTGAGGCATGCTGCAGCTGGAGAATGTGAAAACAATCATTTAAACAATTCATTGTTGCCATTGAGGTTGCCTTGAGCATCAGCAGGTCTTGGTCTAAGGAGGAAAGATGACCGGAGGCAGGAAGGCATTCAATACTTCTTACCAAATCTCTCTGCTGTCCTTCAGCTTGAGACATCTTCTGCAGATAATCAAGGCATACAGGTTTTACAATGTCGTTAACATAAAAATTCAGAAAAACTTTTTTTTTTTTTAACTTAAAACACGTCCTTGGTCAAAATGGCATTTTGTGAAAATAGCATTCCTTACAGTTTAGTCAAACGTGACCATTCCTTACAAGGGTTGTAAAAATCTGTAATTTACTCTCTAGCAAAGAAACAGGTGTCGTTACAATAATTGACAACTTATTTGCTAGTCTTCGTACTTATGAATAAGAAATAATAGTAAAGAGAAGAATCAGGTAAAAGGGGTTTTTTAAATCCAAAACCATTTAATTTCTTAGTCTCAGTGATTAACACCCAAGTTCTCTGCTTCTCAGTATAATATACTACCTTGGTCTTTGATTCTTACCCAAGATTTCAAAGTTCTAACAAGTTGTCAGATTTTATACTGAATATTGTATATAAATTAATTATGATTGTCTTCTATTTTGCATTTAAAATCATTTTATGAAAATGTGATAGGTGATTTGTTTTTCTCCTGAAAATGAGATAAATTCATCCAAGTGGAAAAAATAAGAATTTAAAGAAGTCAAGGCATCTAGAATTTTGCTACATGGTCAAAATCCAGCACAAGTACTTTATGTATTACTTCAATATTATATATGTATGAATATTATACTATCTCTTGCATCTGAGAAACCAAGAGTTGGAATCAATTCCAAATCAATAAAAGAAACAGGACTACAAAACAGCCTATTAGAAATGCTGATGCCAACAATTTTTCCAGAACTCAGGATTGTTGTTTTCCCACTTTTATATCCAGGCACCATATATGCATATTCTCATTAGTTGTCTTCAACTTTCTGAGAGTTCTCAAACATGATTCTTAAAATTTGCCTTCATTGTAGAGCTATGAGAAAAAGTAAAGGAATAATGTTCTACATTTGGTAACCTCCAATATTTAGACTTTTTTTGCTAGATCTTAAAAGTATTTGAATACAGAAGAGCCCACTGAACATTTCTGGCTGCATTTGATATTAGTTTTCATGCAAATAGAAGATTTTGTGTTCTCTTACACCCAGTTTACATGCTGTTTTCCTCCCCTACTTAAAGGCCAAACAAATCCATTTCCATCCATGCTGAATCAAATATTAATACCAGTCAGCTTTCCATCAGTGTTTGGATTCTATTTCTAATTCTGCTGCCAAACTCTAGTGCATTAAGTAAGGGTAGCATTTAGCAATGTTAAGATGTAAAGGCATACATAGATCACGCTGAAAGAGAATGGAGGATGAGATGTACAGAAGAATAATGAGAAAAGCCAGTGGGCCAAAGAAGAGGAAAAGAAAAGAGTAGATGAGGTCAACTGGGCATTCTCTGGCTCCTAACTATGCCTAAGAAATCAAGAAATATAGTGACTACACTGTACCTGACTTTCATCCATTGTTAACTAACATCTATAATGAAAAAGGAAAACTGAATGCAGGGTTGCAGAATTCTCACAACTTTAGTTTTTAGTTTGCATTACGGTACTGTCCAAAATTACATGCATTTGATGTTTTATACAGCAATCCTTTGTTCTCACAAGTTAAGATTTGTTTTAATGCAACAACAAATAAGCATTAGAAACACTCTTTTACAAACTGCCCTAGTAAGTTACAACAGTAACTCAAGATATGATGAAAAGCAACATCTAACTAATGTAAGCTGATGTACAAAATATACAAAATAGTTAGGTCATTCAAACCTGCGCTATAGATTTTTGTTAAGTCACTAGTTCAAATGTTTTACTAACCTTTTTGAAAAAAATATTGCAAGAAAGTAGCTTCTAAATAAGCCTAAGCAAATAGTAGGTAAAATATTACTTGATATATTTTAAATATTAAATATTCCTTGATATATTTCAACAACCAACCAAGTTGCTGGAAGGTGGACTGCACATACATTTAATTTATTAGTAACAGTACTAGCAAAAGAATGTCATAGACATAGAGGGAAATGTGTACATTTTTTAACATGCAACTACAGTACGCAAATAGAAATATTCAACCTAAAAGGACATGTGTTGTATCTGTGCATCCTGTGGTATTCCAATGTAAATTAGAATTATCATATCAGTGCATATTATATAAAGAAGTGTAAGCCTCAATAAGTTCTCAAAACTGGTAGGGTCCCAGTGTTTTTCCACAAAAATAATCATGGTTTTTAAGAAGGCGCAGGGGGCTTCTTCTTCACCTTCTAAAGGCAAACCTTCTTCCAGAGGAACCAAGAAAAACAAAGATCCATACCAACCTCTCGTACATCGATTAAGTGATCTGGCTGCAGAATGGGAATTCTCTTCCCAGCTGGCAACTTGTGATGGCCAACACTGAAAAAGGAAGCTGCGTTTTGGCTGGGTCTTCTCTGCATACCAGGAGAGCCACTTCCTTGAGAGGCGAGAGAGAAGCTGCGAGATTTCAGAGGAGGATTGTTCTGGTGAACAAACATACATATTAGGAAATCCTTGAAAACTAATTGTTTAAACGTTCATCCTTCTCACTTACCCATTTTATTAAGTACTTAACTATTCCCTTATTAGACTGCTTCTAAATTCCTGATAATATATTGTAATACAGTTAATAATACAATCAGGTTTGGAGCATGCATTAAATATTTGGCAGGGGGGTAGGCTCCCAAACCCAGCCTCGCATGGAAGACAATGTACAGTATTGCAGTATAATCGTTAAGTGTTTGCGTTTCACTTTTCTTATAGTAAAATTTGATGAATCCTATAAAAGCTCTACATTGAAGCAGAGGGCAGGAGGTACTGTTCTTTTTGCAGAAATTCAATTGTTTTTAGCACTACTTGTTGCAAGATATACTTTTTTTAAGATACACTAATTTTTAAGCATAAGCTGAAGCTCCATCCCTCTTTATGTGAAAAACTGATAGTCTGAGATAACTGAATGTTTTAATACTTGTCAAAAAATTATTAACATTCTAGTGCAGCATATTATTATTTAATTACTCTAATCCTGTGTAAACACTTGGGATGATCTAAATACATTCAGCTAAAGCATTTTTTATTTCTCAGTTTAGATCAGATGTTTTAGCTATTTTTGAAATTCCCAGATTACTTTCCCAGATTGGAAAGTATCTTAGATGAATTTTTAAAATCATAGTTAATTTGCAAGAATTTTGAAATCAGAATTAGAATAGCCTACTAATAAATAAACTTTAAAAGTTTAAATGTTTAAAAGAATATAAAATGAATTTGTTATTTTAAGGTTAGATTAATTCATCAAAAGATTTTTGTTTAATGAACAGCTCAGCATATATTAACAATTATAAATCTTTTTATCCTGAAAATAATAAATTTGAAGACATTAGATACATATTAAATCTACAGTTAATATTATTTTTATTATTGTTGATATTATTTGGAGAAGACAAGTAAAGTCTAAAAATAATAATGCAACATTGAACTATATACTGAAAACATGGAATTTTATAAATTTATGAAGAATTTGGGACATATCAAGCTTACAGTGTAGTTAAAAAGAGAAATTTGGATGATTGCAAAGAAACAAACTCTAAACTTTAAATATTGGACTGATGTACTGGTAATTAATACATTCACTCTCAGCTTTGAATTAACAAAATAAAAAGGCTAATCAGTATGATCCTATGAACAAGATTTAGTTATTTGCTTAAAATGGATTAGCTTTTATTTATTAATACTAAATATTTTTAGGTTATTGCCTTTGTTTTGCTGTTTCTTTTTCATACTTTTGTTTTTATTTTGCACTTTGTCTTTTTGCACATTATAGCAGTGCAAAAAATGAAAATAAAAACATAAACATGTGGAACGGGGGAAGCTTCTTCCATAGATCAAATCTGCCTTAGTAATTTTATTTTGGCAAAGATATAATACTATGTAAAAACAAGTATTCTTTTCCAGATGGCTGGCTAATGATAATGCTTAATGCTTAAAGACAAATTCCACGGTTTATGAGTAACTGAAAGAGGACATGATAAGCTTAATTTTGCAACCTAGAAAACTGGTTTATCAGTCATGCAGCAGCAACTTACTTAGGAACTGCAAGATACAGAGAATTCATTTTATTCCATGAATCACTTAATAGAATTCCTCAATATGTTACAAAACCTTATTTGAGATTTTCTGAGCTACCCCAGCTACAATCACTTTCACACAGGCTAGCTGCTGACTCACAACAATTGCACGATTAACTGAGCATTAACCAGGATAGTCAATACTATCAGATAAATAGTCAGATAAATATTATCCACCTTTTCACTTCTGCAAGAGCAAACACGTTCACAACCCATTTTTTTCACCTATGTTCATTCTGAAACAAGTCACACCACATTTAATACACTTTACTCCCAGATATTAACACAGGATTGCGGCTTTTAATTTTACTAAGTGAAAACAGATCCAAGACTTCCCAACTGCTCCAAGAGACAATTATACATCAAATAAATTAAAACAATTAGAAAATTACAGAGGCTCATATAAATTGACCAGATTAATAAGCCAATTTATAAAAGGACTACTGGAGGTGTATATAGCTGCTTTGTTCCTCTTTTTGGACTGTAAACACAGAAAATCTTTCAAAACATGACTTTCATCAAAGTTTCATCTAAACTTCAAATAATAGTTTAATACTTATTGCTTGTTTTAAATCCAAGGACTATGATTTCCTAAGTCGTCTTGGATTGTTTCAGTTCCTATAAAGATAAAAGTAACTACATGCACATCTAGGATTTTTTTTTAACGAAATTCTGTCAAAAATAACTGAAATCTTCTCTTTAAATAATTCTGTATCATTCGTATCATTTTTTTGGATAAAACTTCAGCTGCACATTAAAGGAAAAAGGAACCTATGTCAGCTACAAGAAGAAGTTTAATTCTTAATCTGTAGAACTGTTTTTCAAATTAAATTTAAACCAAATTAAGACTTTGCTGTTGTTCTCTATTGGGTTTTCTTTTCTTTGGTAAATGTAAGTAGGATCTGTTGGTCTATTGGTCCACATGATTTGTAGACATTATACATTCTTATTGCTGCATGACTTACAGTGTTTCTGACAGACAATACCTTTCCAATTGCTTCAGTGTGGTGTTGTGTGCATATCTGAAGTCTGCTGACCCAATGCTGTCTTTCTTTGGCATCCGTAGCTGAATAAAAAGCAAAAGGAGAGGAATTTTCACAATACAGTTTCAATTCCAGTTATATCGAAAGAGTCTAACTTCCCAAAAATGGACAAATGAAGTTCCCCACCACCTACATAGCAAATGACGAGCTATTTCCACCTCTCCTAAAAACTGTTTTTTTCCAGAAGAATGTGAAAACTCCTAAACAGGAAGGAGACTATGCTGGATATTGCCAGAGGGGGAAAGCAATGTTCAAAAGTAAGTTGAATGCTCAAGGGAAACTAAACTGGAAAAATTTAATGACAGACTCAACCTCAATGGCTACAGTGGTGTATTTACCAAAACATAAGTAAAATGGCAACAATAAGAGCTAATAACAAAAGCATATTCTGTCTTTAAAATTTCATTCCTTTTCACATGGCAGAACAGAAAGTAACACTTAACAAAAACAATTTGAACACCAAACTTGATATTAAGTTTACACAAGCTAGTCAGTGTTTTCAAAGGTCTGGGTGCAGATATCTTCAAACTACTTCAAAACAACCACTGTGTTATTTTACAAATAAAACCTATAAAGGCCTGCAGCCTTGAGTTTCTCAGAAATCTCTCTTGCTGAATTATGAATTGGTTCAATGAAATAAATACCTGGATTTAATTTTCTGCTTCTCTCTCTTTCTTTATACCAACAAATCCCCTGCCTGAATTCAGACAGAATGAAAGCAAAGGCCAGTACAGTTAATCCTCAACTTACAACAGTTCGTTTAGTGTTCAAAGTTACAATAGCATTGAAAAACGTATGACCCTTTTTCATAAGTATGACCTTTGCTGCATCCCCATGATCATGTGATCAAAATTCAGAAGCTTGGCAAGTGGTTCATATTTATGACCTTTGCTGTGTCCCAGGATCATGTGATCCCCTTTTGCGACAAGCAAAGTCAATGGGGAAGCCAGATTCACTTAACAAACCAGGTTACTGACTTATCAACTGCAATGATTCACTTAACAACTGTGGCAAGAAAAAGTCACCAAATGGGGCCAAACTCATTTAAGAAATCTCTCCCTTAACGAAAAAAATTGGGCTCAATTGTGGTGATAAATCCAGGACTATCTGTATAGACCACAAACCAAAGAAGTAGGATTGCATCCTAATGAACAAGCAGCAATGGAACTATTTAAAAAAACCAACCCCGTACCTCTCAGTTTATACTGTTCTCCACTGGCAGCGTTCACTGTAAAAGTATGAGAATCTTCATCACTAGGGGATATCACAGCTCCAGCCAGCTGCAAGGTACCTCTAGGTTTCTGGTTTCTGGACTGTTCATTCACAAAATACTCTAGGAGGCCACCTTCATTGTTTAAGACAAAATACCTGTAAATGGTGAGGGAAAAGCAAATTCAAAAATCTCCCCACTTTTTCAAACATGCAGCTAACTTCCAAATTTGAGACCTTTTCAGCTAATATGCCCACATATAGATCTCAATCCAGAAGGCCGCAATCCTGTCCTACTAGTGACTATCTGCACAGAACAGCTTTTGAAAGCCCTGAATGCTTCGATGTGAGCTGGAAGCTGAACAGTGCAGTTCCTTTGGAAGACTTTGAGCTGAACTCATGTTGTCCAGCCATTCAATGCCGTTCAATGACATTACCACACAATTCAGAGAGAGGAAGGGTGCTTGCTGTTTGTCCAGTGTTAGGACAATACCACTGCAAAAATTATAATCTAAACCAGTGTTTTTTTAACCTGTCAGTTTTAAGAGGGATGGACTTCAACTCCAAGAATTTTCCCAGACAGCATGGGAAATGGGGAATTCTAGGAGTTGAAGTCCACACATCTTGACAAATTCAAAAAGCACTGAACTGATCTAAACAGAAATCATATACAGCCTGGATCTTGACTTAATTCCTTCTTGGAGGAATATAACTCACTCTGAATTTATTTTCTTTTTTTAGAGAGTGAGTGGAAGTATGGGATATATTTTACAGACAAAGGTAATTAATTTTTAAGTATTTCTGCCTCTCAGATATTTGTGCCCAATGATGTTTTTGCCAGAACATGGGAAAATAATCTGTGGAAGGTGGCATAGGGAAATGTACAGGAAGGGGACCAAATGTTTAGAAAAAACTGCCTTCTGCCATTCTTCATCTTCCACTGAAGGATGGAAAAATGTGGACTCAGCCTTTGGGATTAAGCAAGTGAGCTTTCTGTTTTCTGCAATGTTTGCATAATGCCCCCGGAACAACAACAGGGAAGCAAATGATGAGGCAATACATCAAAACCAACCAACCACATTGTAAGATAACTCTCTAAAATGAACACAAGGATGAAAATATTTGGAATATCAAAAAAAAAAAGTCTATAAGGAAAATGAGGCCTGAATTCAGTTTTGAAGCTTTTATTATCACTGAGGCCTCTGCTGAAAGACTTCAAAAATCCATGAAACTGAAAACTGTGGGGTGGCATGCCATTCATACTCAGCAGCCATCCCAAAGCAATGTCCCTGAATACACAGCCAGCTGAAGCTGGGAAGTTTTAGTAGAGGAGCCTTATATTTTGGTAGAAGCAAGAAAGCCTTCCTAACACATACAGAAAAATTCATACATATATTTATCAAATCTGTATGTTGCCTGACTCCCAAAGACTGTGTACATGTTCAAAGGTTTTTCATCTTTCCATTTTTTAAATAGGATTTTGCACATTCTTGGAGATTTTTATGCTTAGATTGAAAAATTGTTCATATAAACAGAAGAAACTGGAACTACAGAGGTCATAAGGAATCAGAAGGCATGGCTACTAATATATCCCGATTTCTTAGCTGAGGTTTTTAAATAACAAAGAAGCAGTGAAGACGCCAATAAGTAGAAGTAACATTCCAAACTTTTCCCTAATTTGAGCTAACTTGCAATCACTAATTGAAAGAAATATCTATTTTAGTCACACTGAGCCATACGATATGGCAGATCTATTGGGCAATTTAGATTAGGCAAATGATGCTGTGCTTATTATTGTTATAATAATGGTAGAATATATTTTAGCTTCAGTGGACAAATGAGAGGACTGACAATGTCACTACTCCAAATAATACCTATGCTATGGAAACATGTTTGTTATTTAAGAAGATTCCATTTTATTACAATGGTAGCACCTCTAAGATCAAGATAGTTACTACTCCATTTAGAAGCTATTGGAGGTTTCGGGGCTAAGCCACTCCATAGAGGTGGTGAAGAGGGGGGAGATCGCCAGCAGGGTCGAGGAGAGCTGCATCTCTCCTCCTCAGCTGGCCAAACTCCCTTTCCCGAAGGCGATAGGAGCGGTGGTCAGAAATGGCCACCTCAAAGAAGAACTCAACCGGAAAAGAAAGTGCAGGAGGAAGAAGTGAAAGTTTTGGCTGACCGGGTTAAAAAGCAACAACTAAGGTACCCTGGAATTTAAATTTTATAAAAGATAACATTGTTCCCAAAGAAGAGTCGGAAGCAGCAAAAGAAAGTGAAAAGGGAAAGGTTTTTCTTTCTTCTCTCTCCTTCCTTACATTGACAACTAAGAGATCTGAATAAGAAATCGGAAAAATCTGCTTTGGCATCAATAGGCAATTAAGCTGAAAATATAATTAAATGCCAAAGGGACAATAAAGATTTCTTGACATTAAAAACTTTTTCTTCTATAAGCAGGAAGGGAGAGGAAAAGAATAAGGGCAGGATCTGGAGGGAGGAGACTGCCTGGACTTCAAAAGAATCTAAAGTAAAATTTCAATAAGACTTCTAAAAGATACATTTTAACTGAAACTTTGCAACTAAATAGTAACCGCAGGAAGAGAAAGTGAAAAAAAAGAAAGTGTAAAAAGAAACAGCTTGTGTGTATTTGGATTGCTTGGTGACTTTTGGATTTTTGGTTATTATATTTGAATGACTAAAACTAATTGTGTGGTTGTTTAAAAATTTTACAATGGTATCACTTCTGGATGAATTGAAAATGGAACTTAAAAAATACAAAGAAGATGCACAAGAAGGGAAGGGCTCTTTTGGCTTCGTTTTTCAATTCTTAGAAATGGAGATCTGCAACTACGAGAAACAACAAGAAAAGACTGCAAAACAAGAAGACTGGGACAAAGAAGAAGCCATCTTTAATGAACAACTAACTCTATGTGGGGAAGAAAAAGGAAAGGGGGAAAAGAGAATGGAGAATTTAAGACTTAAAAAAACAACCAAAGAAAAGAAAAATAATTTGAAAAATAAACATAATGTTGGAAAGCAACAGAAAAGGGGAATACAGAAGAGGGAAATAGAGGTAGAGAGACAAAGGGGTAAAAAGGGGAGAGAGAAGAAGAGAGGGAAGAAGGAAAGGAAAAGAAGTTACAAAGGTTTGGAGCAAGATATAAAGAAACAGGACCTATTTAGAGATAATGGGTGAAAAACTAACTGAAAAAGGGATTCTGTAAAGGTACATAAGATTGTATTGTTATATTTGTAATAGAAATAACTTTAGAAAATTGGAAACAACATATGATTAAAAAGAGGGATAAAATAGTTAGTGTAATTTAGTGAAATGTTTGTGAATAAAATAAATGAAAAAAAATGAGAAAATTGAATTAGGAAGGAACGGGAACATTTTAATCAGTCAATGTTTTATAAAATATAAGTGAAGAGGGGGGGAATTAACTATGGAAAGTTTATAATTGTTCCCATAGAAGTATGATATTTATTTGAAAAGTAACGTGCAAAATGTTAAGATTTAAATGAATATTAATATTAATTATAGAATTGAATTGGAATGGATTGTTGTTTTAATTATATTATACATTTATAATTTTTTCTTTTTTTAAGAATACAGTGTGTAGTTTTAGAATGTACCAAGCAGAATCCAAATGGAAGTTATGTATTATATTAAGTGTTATTATTTTAGGGGAAAGATATAAAGGCGTCATACTCCAATCAGTAATTACAGGAGAAATTTTGTTTAATGAGAAAAGATAATAGACAATTGAAACAGGACAGACAAAAAATATAAGTACAATGATTTGAATTGAGATGAAATAAATAAAATAAAATAAAGAAAATTAAAAGAGGGGAGAAGCTATGTAGAAAATGCAAAATAGTAATAAGATATGGAATAGAATATAAAAATGAGCATGAACCTGAATCTGTGTCTGTACGAAGAAATGTAACCCGGGATTATGCTGCTTTCAAAAAAGATGTTTTACTTATATTTCTTTTCTTCTTGTGAAAACTCAAATAAAACTTACAAAAAAAAAAAGAAGCTATTGGACACCAAAGGTGCAATGGTTTTACATGGGCATAGTTGAATCACTGCAGAACCAATTGCAAACGAGCCTCCGTAGCTCAACAAGATTACACAAGTTCTGAGATTCCAAAATGTAGCTCCTAGACTGAAGAATCAATTTACATTGCAAATATCGGGAACAGGTGGAAAATGGATCCCTAATGTTCAACAAACTGAACTCAAAGCATGAGGGGAGGAAATAGACTGAAGGAAAAACATGGGTTTTTCCCCCCCTGCTTCGGAGAGTATTTCAAAGAGAATAAGCATTTCCAGCATACTGTCATATCGTAACAATTTTTATTGCAGAAGGAAAGACAAGAGGAAGATAAACAAAGAGCAAAAACGTAGCTTCCCCAGAGCCTTTGCAAAACTTTGAAAAACTCTGTGTTCAGATCTAATTTTCAAATTCACATAAATATTCACTAGAAAAAAGACAGTTGTAACTGTGTCACACCAAGACTGCAAATTCTTAGTCCTACCTATTAGGGATTAATCTACAGAACAAAACCATGAAATTTGTTTCTGAATTGACCGGCAGCAAATAACATTGTAATTATACTTTCAGAAATCTCAAAATATGAGCTCCAATCTTTTAAAATCTTGCAAACATTATGACTAATCAAAAGTCAATACTGCATTCAAAATCATCTTTCTGTTGCTTATAATAGCAACTGTGCTATATCCTCCATGTTCAGATATATTTCGTAGCTGTATTTTTTTTTGCATTACCTCTTGAAGGGTAAAATACACAAAGCCCTCTGGTTCAATTAAAAATTTACCATTCCGGAAATCAAATACATGCACTAAAACAACAGATTATTGCTAAAATAATTCTTCATTCACATATTATTTTCTAAAACAATCAGAATATTACTAACAATTTCTGCCTTATAAATAAGAGCTATTCCATCTGAAATACTGCTGTTTTGGAAAAATGGACTTACCGGTACTGCCAGCCTGTTACAAGATTTGTATATTTCATCAAATAGCCAGAAATGTTTTCCATGTGATCACTGTGACAAATATAAGAACAGAGTTCATCAGCTATAGGCAAATAACAACAATTAAAATATCTCACATACATATTGCGTAATTTCATATTTGATAGAGTAATAGAAGAGACTTCATAACTCAGCACAAATGTTAAATGACTTTTAAAACAGAAATTCCTGCAAGCTCTTGCTCCTTGTTTGTCTTTGCAGAATTGATTTAGAACTGAGATGCTTTAAATAATCTACCAATCTGAAAACTGGGACCAACATTACTGATGCATAAACTACTGGAATCAGTAATGAATCATTGGACACCTCTTGTTTATAAAGCTTCAATATTAAAGATTAAATTTG